GGATTGGGGGTACTAAATGCAGTTAGAGGTTTACTTTCTTCTGTAAGCATGATTTGCCAAAACCCTGACTTACAATCAAATTTTGAAAATATCTTTTTGTTCTGTACTTGTTTAATAAGGGTATCCTTATTTGGTAAGTAGTATACATCAAACTTGGTAACTTCATTTAATTTTTGTAGTTTATTACCATTCTGGCTTTTCCTCTTTTTATCTCACTATGTTTTCTAATCATAAAGGCTGGGCTACTACGTGGACTTTTACTTGGCCTAATCAGTCTGGCTTCTAGCAATTCTTTTATTTGGTTTTTAAATTCTTTTTGATCATCAACACTATATTTCATAGGTTTGACCCTTACTATAATATCTGGATTAATTAATTCTATTTTTGCCTTTACTTTATCTATATTCCATTTTTCTAATGGATTTTCAGAATATGTTTCAGAGATTTCTTTTTTCAATTTTTCTAACCTATTTTCTGTTGTCATTTTTAATACTGTAATTGGTTTGAATTTTTCTGTACTCCAACATTCACTACGCTGGGTTGAAGAACTCTGATGATTTATATCTCTAAATGCAATTGTAACAGCTTTATTTATTTTTGGTGTAAATATTTTATGTGCACAAGGTGTTGTGAACATATACTTATCAATATATTGTGTAAATGGAGCATATTTTAATAGGAAATTTTGTCCTAATAAAATATCACATCCTATTGTAGTTGACATATATATTGTATCAACAAATACTTCTCTAAAGGAAATTAGAAAAGGTACTTGAGTAGCATACTTACTGTATATTACTTTATTTCCTCCTGCTGTTGTAGCAGTTACTACTTTCTTTGAATTATATTTCCAGCATTCAGATGGCAGTACATTAGGTAAGCAAAGGCTTATTGTACTTCCTGTATCTAAGTAAGCGTGAAATTTAATTCTACAATATTCTTTTATATTGAGTGTAATTTCAATATATGGACTCATGGGATTAGTACTTATTATTCTTTCCATGATAACAATGATTTCATATTTTCATCTATTTTTGGAATGATAATTGGATTATCATCAACTGTTATTTTTAAATATCCTTGGCAGATTTTATAAGGACTATATTTTTCAAGGAAGTTCATTCCTAATAGAATAGGTGAACGATTCACTCCATATAATTCATCTTTATATAGAATTATTTTTTTAGTATATTCTTTCTGATCCTCTCCTACAAGTATAAGAGGGAACTTAACATATTTTCTGATTTCAAGATTATTTCCTAAATAATCTTTAAATATATATGGTTCTGTTATTTCGAATTTTGTTAGGTGACTAACAAATTTAGCATTTACATGACTTTTATCTGCTCCAATATCTATAAGGACAAGAAGATTTTTCTTAAATCTTTCTTGGTTTACATATCTTGTCTTGATGTAATATTGTGAACTTGATGGTTCAGTAATGCTTAGATTCTTAAGTCTGCTTATCCTAGATTCTTGTCTAGAGGGGAATCTTGCAATAAGATTGTCTCCTTCTAAGCTGACACTATTTCTTCTTATTAATTTTCCTTCAGAATTAATTTCTCTAGCTTGTTTATGGAAATCTAACATTATTTGTTCTGGTATTGTTACTTCATGTTCTTGATATTTCCTAGGAGGTATGTATTGTGCTAATTCCTCAAAATCTTTATGTATTATTATGTTATCAGTTATTTTTCTTAAATTGTGATGATGGCTAGTACTAAAAGCAAAAATTGATTTTATGCTTATACTAATAGCCTTACTTCTTCGTAACATCTTTAAATTTCCAATTCTATAATATAGATTGAAACTTTGGTCAATATTTTCATCACTCAATGATATGGCATAATTTGGTTTTACTGTAAATATTATCTTTTGATAGACTAAATTTCCTACAACTGTTCCTAATAGAACATTTATAGGATCTTGTAAGATTCTGTTGTCCATACAGTATATTTCTATTGGTATATTCATACCTTCTCTAAAAAATCCTTTTACCATTATCTGGACTCCTCCTAATTCAATACATTTTAATTTGTTCCTTACATTTTCTGGGATTTTGGATAGTTTTTGTTTTACCCATTCTTTTGTGATTATAGGAATTCTTGCCTTTCCTATAGTATCTTCTATATTGATGGACATTTCTTTATAATTCATACTAACAATTGTTTTATTTACCCTTGGTAAAATTCCTAAAAATCCTTGATGAAATACA